CTGCTCCTCCCAGGTGAGGGGCTCTGTGGGCTCTCAGGGAGGGCTGGGGGGTCTGAGCTGTGGGGAGAGGACAGGAGCCTTCTCTGGAGTGGGAATTAAGAAAAAGCTGTTCCCTTAGATTATACCAGAACTGTTTACAGCAGGAAAAACCAGCCTCTTAAAGTGATGCTGAATTGCACAGGCTATCAAGGGCACACCAGGCACCTTTCTCGTTATTCCATGTTGTCCTCTGAACCTGGAGCTAGTTTAAGCCTAGATCTCTTCTCTTCCTCCCACTCATTTACCCAGCGTGTGGTGAACTTTATAATTAGTGAAGAGACTCATTAATTTTTTTTCCTTCTCCTTTTTATTTTCAGGTTTCTGACAGATGTGACTATGTCTTTGTCAACGGGAAGGAAATGAAGGGCAAAGTGAATGTCGTGGTTAATTTCACTTACCAGCACCTGAGTGCCCCCCTGGAGATGACAGTGTGGATCCCTCGTCTCCCGCTGCAGATTGAGGTCTCTGACACAGAGCTCAATCAGATCAAGGGCTGGAGAGTCCCCATCATCTCTAATAAGAGGTAGGTTTCATTAGGGGATGTTCATTCTGGGCTGTGCACTTGCCAGGGACCTGTCAGGGCCAGAGGATCTGAACATGCTCATTTGGCCTTAATGCAATTCTGCTGTAAATTTGAAGGTCACCAGACATTTATTCAATAGGCTCCTGCACTGGACTGGTGAGGGAAATGGAAGCTGCAGATGCATGAACCTGGATTGGAAATCAATTTCCTTCTGTAGCACTAATGGCTGAGATGGGAAGGGCCAATTGGTCAGGTTAGGCAGGATCAGGCACGAGGCAGCAAGGAGGCACCAGCAAGAGGCAGCTCTGGCAGGGCTGGTCGGTCTGCAGCCTGTTCACAGGTCCTGGCAGCTCCTGGATCCACTGCCAGTGTCACAGTTAGCACAGAGCTGCTTCACTCCCCGTGGGGTGCAGTGATCAGTGCCCCACAGGCAGGACACAGCTCTGACACTGTCAGTGCCCACAGGACACAGGCTGGATGAAGCAGGTCAGAGCTGGCTGCATCTCTTGTCAGTGTAATTAAGAACAAGAGGAACAAGTTGATAAAGGAGGTGCTTGGTATTCCCACCTGCAAATGAAGCCATTTATTACAGGTTTCTGTTAGCATCAGAGCAAAGACATTTTGGTGGAGATGTGATTTCAAATTGTACTGTACAGAGAGGGATGTGTGTGTAGATGCAGGGAGATTTCCATGGCAACACCAAGATGTTTATGGGAAGATCCAGAAAGAAAAGAAGTGTGAAGGTCCTGAAAGCAAGGACTTGACATGGGAAACAATGGAAGATGCTTGGGGAGATGTGTGGTGGCAAAGCTGGGAGGCCAAAGATGGCCTCAAGTGCTGTTTCTGAGTTGTGAACATGGGAAACAGGACAAAAGTGGGGGAGAAGCTGCAGGAGCAGGCTGCAGGCTGAGGCCAGCAGCAGCTCTCAGCACAGCTGACCCTGTCCCTTGCTGTCCCCAGGCCGGCCAGGGACAGCGATGACGAGGACGAGGACGAGCGCAGGGGCAGGGGCTGCACCCTGCAGTACCAGCACGCCATGGTCAGGGTGCTCACCCAGTTCGTGGCCGAGCCCCCCGAGCCCGGGGCCCAGCTCAGCTTCCTGCTGGGCTCAGACTGGCAGCTGGACATCACCCACCTGGTCAGGGACTTCATGCAGGTGGAGGAGCCCAGGATCGCCCAGCTGCACGAGGGACAGGTCCTGGTCGGGCTGGAGCTGGGCATGACCACCATCCAGGTAGGGACATCACTGATGTGCTCATCACATCACTGTTCCTCCCTTAATTCNGCTCAGTGAAGGTGACTCTGCCCCCCCCGAGTCATTCATTAGTGACTTATGGAGCTAATAATGGCCTCATCCTTTTGTACCTTGGTACACAGCTTGTGTTCCGGAGTCTTTTATAGCTCAAATGAGCTGCTTTTGCTTATTTATTTCCCCGCTCATTCATTTTTAATGGTTAGCAGAGCCTCCCCCATCCTTCTCCTGGCAGCAGTGATTTAGGCAGGGCTCATTATCATAACTTACCTTACTAAATATCCCCATTTGTGCTGCTAGACCCAGGAAAATGTGTGCAGTGCTAAATCACAAGAGATCCCATGAGCTTGCCAGGGTGGCAGGGCTGTGTTTGAAGTGTGTATTATACACAGAGAGCCCTCAGAGGGGGAAGGATCATTTACAGGGACAGGGATGGGACAGAGTCATTCCCAAATACTGATTTCTGTGGGAAATACCAGAGGCTTACCTTCCCAACTAGCCACCCTTGAGATGCACTGACCCAAACTGCTCAAGATATATTTTATTTTCAAAGATACATTTTATTTTCAAAGATATATTTTATTTTCACAGACTTATTAGCTGTGACTTCCTAAGAGTTCCAACAGAATTACTGTAGCAGGAAAGCAGTTTCCTGTGAGGGCTTTACTGTTATCCCATGGGAATTTAATAATGATAATGAGGTGGGGAAAGACTGTTTCTGTTATTTCTGAGAGCTGGCAGTGAGGTTCTGGGTGCTTCCCCTGGGAGGTGGGATGTACATTCCCTTTCCCTCCCTCCCTTTAGGGCTTTGCATTCTGTTCAGCCAAAAGCTGGCAGTGGGTTTATGGGAGCAAAGGAATCTCAGCCCAAATTCAGGTGTTTCACAGGCAGCCTGCACACAGGGGAGAGGGAAGAGCAGTGAAATGCTGTTAGGAGAGGGATGGGAGCAGTGCTCACTGGAGAGGCAGGGGCTGTGTGGGGTTTGTGAGGGGCCTTTTGCTGCTCCCCACGTTCCCCCAGGCTGGGGAAGCCCTGCTGCAGGGCCTCCAGGAGTTTAGTGTTTGATTCCACAGATAATGGGAACCAAAAGAGGAGAAAATAATAAAAACCAATTGCTCTGTTTGTGATCACACCCCAAGAGCATTCAGAAGGGGGGAGTTTCAGAGGACAGAGATGAGCCCTTCTCAAACAACACAATCAGGCTTTTCAGGTGAATGTAAAACTGCCTTGGAGCAGCAGTGCCCCTGGTTGTGTTTGTGTGTGCAGGAGGGGCACAGCAGCATCCCTGCATCCCCTGCTGGCAGTGACTGAGTCAGTGTTCCAGGTGTGCTCAGCCCTGCACTGAGCCCAGGGCCAGCAGGGCGTGTTTGCTCTGGACACGGGCACATGGGAATGTCCTTGCTGGCTCTGTGCTGTGCTGGCACTGTGGGCACATGGAAATGCCATTTCTGGCTCTGAGCTGTGCTGGCACTGTGGCACAGACAGACCTCTGCCCCCAGAGCCAGCACTCCCTGCTCAGGTCTGTGTTCACTCACAGGAAGCTGCCTCAGCTCTGCACTGGTGGAAGGACAGGAGGGGCACCTGCAGGAGCCCAGAGAAGCCCAAAGCTCTTTTATAACCTGCCAGGTTGGTGCCCCAAAAAGCCATTCAGAGCTCAGTCCCTCAAGAGATGAAAGCCCCCTGTACTGAGAGAATTTCTGGGGCATCTTGTGAACACGAAGTACAGTCTCCCCTAATTAATGGAGCCAGCTCAGTGCAGGTGTGTGAAAAGCTCCGGTGACACAAAGCCTGGAAAAGCTTCAGCAAGGGAGCACAGCACCAGAAGGGTTTAATGGCATTATAATGTCCTTGGATTGCAGTGGCCACAACACAGAGATGTATTCCAGCAGTCCATTAGCAGGAAAAGAAAATGGCTCTTTCTCTCTTGAGCCCTTGTCACCTTTGCTGGAAGCTGGAGTTGGCATCCCTGGGACAGCAGAACCCAAAGGCAGGAGGAGGGGAAATGAGAGATGGGGGAGTCCCTGGA